CAAGCCAAGCATTGTTTCCTTACACTATGCAGTCTTAGTACTTCAAAGGCACATTGTGTTTGGTGGCGTTTCTCTTGAGTCCCACTTTGTGTTGCTGCGAGTTCGCAATCCTCATTGGGCAATTACTCTTAAGGTTTCTCCGCTGATACCGCAATAAGTTGTGCAAGCAGAATGGTGTGCGCTTCCATGTCAAAGCTATTGAAAGCCTCGTTCCATCGTGCCCACTTTCTTTAGAAAAGGCGTTACTGAATGGGGTGCCAACGCACAGCATCGGGAATTGCTTCAACCTAACTTAGTTAATATTAACTCCTCCCAATAAAGTACGTCTTTCGCGTTCCCTCGCTCTCATCGTGGATGCAAACACACAATCACATGCCTCCATATGACTCCTGCACTCCACACTCCTTCATGTCGCCATTTAAAATGGCCATTCTGAGATGCGTGACGTTTGCCACTTCATTCAACATTACTTCTTTTGTTGTTTTTATTCTTACCGTTATTAATAATAATAAGGTTACTATTATTATAGTTTGTAAGGCTTGTGGCAGTCGAGAAAGCAAAGTTGGATGCTTTGGTGAAGATAGTGGGAAGGGAGAGTCCCTCCGCCAAACTGGAATTGTTGGCTCCTGTGTTTGATAAACCGTCAATCTACGTGTCGCTGTTACCGCTACCACCTGACGTGCTGCGAAACATGGTAAGAAGTGACCCCAAGAAATGGTTAGCTGGTGCATTCGGCATTGCCTTACCAGCCACGATGATAAAGAAGAGAATACTAGAAGAAGTGAGGAAAGTGCTCGAAGGCACAATTCAGGCTTTGATAAGCACCATCGGTGAAAGCGTCTACTCCACCTCTCAACTGCACAACGCTTTCCCTTTACCCCATCATTGCATCCCCTTGCACACCTCTTTGCTCCCCACCGCTGCGCACAAGCCAAATGGCCTTCAGTACATCGCTCAGTGTTGGAGGTTGGGCTAAATAAATTGCTTTCAACTTTGGACTGGAAGTGTTTTGAGCAAGGCAGCTGTGGCAGTTGCCAAAAGCGAGGTCAACAAAGGCCACCTCCTCCAAAATACCCTCACTGCTTCACTCTCTCTTCCCCTACTACAACTTGACACCAGGATGCTGTCAACGAACGCCACCTCTTCGTGGTCAATGCTGCATCACGTTGCTGCTGCCTCTTACTTCCCAGTGCAAGCAGTCCATTGCCGGAAATGACCTTCGCTATCCTTGCTGAACACTTCATAAGGGCAATGAAGAAAAGGTCACAGTTTGTCAGCACCTAGCAGAACGAGACTTTGGAGCCCTTTTACCGTCCAGCGGGGCCACTCTCAACATTTGCTTGTCGCGTTTAAGGTGAGAATCCAACCATTTACCATAGGATAGAAATGGCAGGCGATAGTACTTCAAAAGCTCTGCCAACTAGTCACCGCTGCGACCCAAACGCTAACGAATTCTTTTGCAATTCTGTCAAATAAGGCAGTTAGGTTGGGATGGTGGTCTCCTCTACTTGAGCTGCTTAAAGCAAGCGCTGCTTACCACCATTTGGTCGAAGGCACACGCACACACTCGTCTTACTCGCTCTTCTGCTTCACCATGGAGCATCGAGTTGACTGGTCACACGCCTAGCAACTCGCCTGCACGCCCAAAGTGTGTGACGTCGATGAAGTGTGGGAGGGAGGATTGTGTATGACAGATAGTGGCATTGAGGAGTGGCGATCATCACGTAGTTTTTACATTTCCCACTTTGTCGACTTGCTGTCCACACACGGCTTGCATACGCGACTCCTGTTTCGTGCACGGCACCACCTGCTTCTGGGCATTGCAGTGTCGGCTTTCCACATCATTGTGCGTCACTCAACAGTTGTTAGGGTGTCGCAAGTGGGTAACCCTAAAATACACATCTTAGATCAGCATTTAAGTTAAAGAGTAGAAGTAAACCAAGACACACTGCAGTAACTCCAGTGGAAGCATTGATTGCCTCTCAATCAGCCGTCGTCCCCATGCGGCGGGAGCAAAAGGCTTGGCATTGAAGCTAATCGGGCAGCAGGCGACTAATGGTGACCAGTTTGGGAGAGGTAAATCAGATTCCGTGCGCCAAGTTTCTACTCAGCATTGACAACTTTGTGGGATGTGCCAGTTGAAATGGCTTGCTCGACGGCGGCATCTGATCCCACTGATGGGCAATTCACCACACATTGACATTGTCAAATGCCTCGGCAAAGATGACAACCAACTGTAAGAGGGGATTTCGTGTACAGTTGCATTGACTATGCCCTGGCCTCACCCACACACGCATAATGATGCATAATCAGGAGGAGTCGCTGCGTGCTTTTGGTGGTGCGCAAAATAAACAAAGGTTCGTGCTTCGCCAACTTAGAGTGAGAGCAACTGTTGGCGATGGAAGCTCCGTATAGAGGGGTTCTTTGAGCGGCTAATGTAGAAGGAGGATGATGAATGCAGGTTGAGGAAACACAACTATCCACTACACATTCCATCGTGTAGACCGTCTACCCAAATCCGGAAATGGAAGACCATGGGGACGACTTTAAGAGAACACCTAATGCGCCATTTCAACAACCTCCACCTCCACACTCTGCATGGAGTCAAGACAGATTGAGATAATCAGCCTCCTCGTGCATCGCCACAACACCTCCGCCAAGTTATCCGATGCTGCACGGCACCGATAACTGCAACGCTTGTCAAATCTGCTGTGAGTAGAGTGAATCCTCAAGCGATGCACATTTGAATGCTTGTCGAAGGGTGCATTCAACTTTGGACTGCAATGTCTCCTCCATAGAGTTGTGAGATGTGTCGTCCCACAATTTCAGCACAGGTGGGTAGTTCAGTCCTTAATGCCTGCGCCAAACGCTGCATAGGAGACCCAATTCACAACAATAACGCCAGTTTTGTCGACCTCACATGCATGCCTTTATTACAGGATTGCCGTCCATCAAGTCAAAGTCACGTGTCGCATTAATTTATGCCTATTTTTATCCACTCACTCATCTCCATCACCTCTATTCACCCACTTCTTTATCCCTTCGTCTTTCTTTCCCACCTTACCAATTGTAGCCGCAGTCACTGCAGTTTAGCTCAACTCTCAAGCACTCGATCGTCTGACTGGTTCAAGCTCCTACATTTGGAGGGAGGGAGTGGACAAAGAAGAGAAATGAAACGGAGATGGGAGGTGGAGGTGAGGTGAGCGGAGGTCGAATTACTACCTGTAGAATTCCAGCTGGAGCTCTACATTCACGGTGCCGAGAAGGAGTTAGCACCCGAGTGCATGCATGTGGGCAACAAATGATATGCTTTGCCAAAGGTTGAAGTTATTTTTAACCTTACATACTTTGCCTCATTGAAGCGTTCATTTGCCAATTATTGCATGATGCGTGTTGTTCTGCGGTTGTTTGGATGTAGCGGAGGCGCTCTCATTTGATTTAAAGAAAACTGTCTACAATTGGTGAAGCAGACAAGTGATGATGAGAAAGTGAGTAAAAGGAAAGTAGAGGACTACACGACGTCACTCAGAGTCATCCACAAAGCCACATTTCTCGACACCGTCTTCATGCTATTTGTAAACGGACGCACAAAGAAATCGCCCCCTCTCGCCTCTTGCACGCGCACATGCCAATCCAAATGCAGCGATCTATGGTGGATGCAAAAGTGTGGCCACTCCACAGACAGTGGTGTGGTGAATTGCACCCCGTCTGTCTGATGGAGTCCTGAATTGGGCGCACGAGAAGTGCATTCAACAATAGATAAAGGGAGGCAGTTGGAGAGGTGCTCAATTAGTGGTTTTATGCATGCCAACGGAGCGAGCACTTATGCTGAGGTGGCAAAGTACGCGGAGGGCCCCTAGGCATGCCCAATAAAGATTGGGGGATAAAATAAAGAGCTGCTATAAAAACCTCTTGCATCACGAAGGCAAAAATTGTCCAACTTCAAGCTATCTAAGCTAGGTGAATCTCCATTGCATGTATTAAGTAGTCTTTGTGCGCAGGTGAGGAGAAACGGATGGAATTCGCCCTTATCCACATCCCCCCTCAGCACCTGCCTCCCTCAACTATCCACTCATCCGTTTAATGCGAAGTCTTAGCTGCAAGGTCATTGAGTTGCCATCAGGGATGCCTCAAACTAGTTCCACTTCAATGGAAGAGTTGCCTCGTCTCCTCTGCACAGCTCAGCGTGCTCTACACTTTCAAAGCCACCGTGTCGCTGTACGCAGTCCTGACGATTTTGTGGTCAGTTGTTGCCGCTCTCTGCCGCTCCGCTACTTCCTCTCCGTTCACATCGCTTCCATTGTACGCTTCGGTCAATCCCTTGAAGAGTGCTACAAACATTGCGCGATCCTCTGCTTCGACACTGAGATGCTGCACAAATCGAAGGCAGCTCTTCCTATAAAGCACGCGTTGAGTACTTCCTTGTCGATTTCAGCCTCTCTCTCCCTCTCCTTCTACGCTGTCCAGCGCTGCGTGCATTTTATTCATTCACTTCACAACTATCCATCCACTAGACATCCACTTCCAATGGGTGAAGGGGAGGAGCAGCGTACTCCAAAGCAAAGCACTCAGTCAAGACCAGCAGGAAGTAAGCACTGGATGTTATTAGTGTGCTACATAGGTCAGCATGTAGGAAAGTCATGTAGAAGTCTGAGTCTTCGAGTTGTCAGTGAAATGATGCCGACAGTAAGTGCTTTGCATCGCCAAGAAGGAGTGGCAGAAAGAGCTCACCATGTTGAGATGCAATCGCCACAAGTAGAGAGAGTGAGTGAGGTTACGCA